TTGGGCATGTTACAATAAGCTTATAATCTATACAAGGAACTTTAATTATACGTACGGTAAATTATACTACCTCCGTTTCTCAAAAGAGTTCCTCTTTTAACTTTGGGAAAAAATAAGGAAGTGTTAAATTGTAGTTGACTTTCCAATTTTGCCCTTGATGTGATGGGTAAAAGTAAGATGTGATAGTTTAGTTGTTAGTGAAAAAGTATGATGTGATAGGTAGGTTATGCAAAAGTAGGGGTAAAAGTGGTTTTTTAATAGAAAGGGGAAGTGTTTTAAGAAAAACAAAAAAAATGAAAGAGGAAGGGTTTTAAGAAACGGAGGGAGTATATGATATATTCCATATTTAATATACTCATGCCTTTGAGATTTTTAAAGGTTTCATCTTATTGTTTCTTTGTCATTTGAAATGTATATAGGTTGGGGTTCAAGGGGTGGGCAAACTGCCTTTTGCTTTGAGCTATTATTATTTGCAGGGAGCCCCCATGTGCTTTCTTGCGATTTGAGATCTTTACATGGATCTTCTATTTGTTTTGGTTCTCAGCCATCTCAAGAGTAGAAGTTACAATCAAGGTGGATTGAGGCTAAGAGAATAAATAAGAACATCGAAGCAGTTCAAGACTTTTTTAAGTCTCTAACATTTGTGTTGTTTTTTTAGTTTGCTTCAACCTAATCTTCTATAGAAAATTTCTCTTGAATTGTAGTAGTTCTTCAGCTGAAATTGAAGATCTTATCTTGCCAATTACATTATAGCAGCACTATCAAAAGCCCATTTATAAATAGTGGTAGTCAAATCTTGGCATTCACCATGGGGTCTTCATGTGAGTCTTTATTATTTTACAATGGATCTTATAGAAGCAAATACTCAGTGGTAGTAATTTGAATTATTTTTTTACTCCCCATAAAACCAACCCTTTCATTACTTTTTCCCAGCTTCTTGAGTTGTTGATTTTTTCTTCTACATATGTCCTAGGCAGCTTTGTGATTGTTAATTTGTTAAGAATGCATAAAAATAGTACTTGGTTAAGAATGTAGAAAAAGTTCACAAAAGTTACACGGAGTATCATTATTTTTTTCAGATTTTGTTTATTATTTATTTCAAACACAAACAATATTGAATTTTTAAATTATTATTTAAAAAAATTAGAAAAGAAATTAAAAAAATCTTTTAAAAAACAGAGAGAAGAAAAAATGAGATAAGAACAGGGGAAACCAAAAAATGAAAAGAAAATAGAAAATGAGCTCTTTTACCATGTGTTTAGTAAAAGAGACAACAATGTCCCTTCCCTAGAAAATGTTCAGAGAATAGTTCAGAGAGTTTGAGGGAATGTATGAACAATTTTTAAAACCATGTGAATTTTATAAATAAGTTTTGAAAACATATGGGTCATTAGTGTTAATTTCTAAAATTAATAGACTTGGTATGATTCAAGAGACAGACATGTTAAAACTTTATTTTGTACACTTGCAATTGTTCAAATATTACTTATTCAACTTTCACTAAAATGGCTATAATATTATAAAATTGTGTTAGAAATATTATTTTTTTAATAAAAAACTATTAAATTGAAGAGTATCTTTTGAATCGACAAAACTTAATTCGATCCCGTGTGTGGCACGGGTCAAACACTAGTAAATAACAATAAATGGAAACATGTAAAATTGTGACCGTGTAAAACGTACTACGTAAATGGTAACGTAACTAATGACTAAAAATGTCAGGATCGTTAATAACCATATAATAGGTGGCCTTATTAAATGGTACCATTAATAATAATAATAATAGTCCAAAATTAAATGTTAATTTTGCGGCACGGTACTTGGAGGAATACGGTAATGGTAAATAAATAAATATTCTAATTAAATGGAGTGTTCTAAATAAAACGGGGATGAATACAGCAATGGTAAATAGATAAATATTCTAAATAAATGGAGAGTTCTAAATAAAATGGTAAGTTTTGATACAACATGGTACATGGATGATTACAGTAATGGTAAGTAAATAAATGTTCTAAATAAATGGAGTGTTCTAGATAAAAATAAAAAATATTAGAGTCACAAACAAATAACTCACAAACTTCACAAATTTGTTTTCTGTAGATGTTAAATTAAAATGTATTTTATTATTTAAGTGTACCTTATTTCTACTAAGAACTTTAAAAGGCAAGTTTGTGATTTTTATGAACGGTTTCTTTGTGACTTTAACATTACTCAAATAAAATAGTAAATAAATAAATGTTAAATGAAGAATTATAATAGTTAGTTTAAAACATAAAAGGTAACCAAAAGCTCTTAGGAACGTAAATATTACTTCCTTCGTCCGAAAATATTCTTCCCACTTTCCTTTTTGGCCCGTCCAGAAATATTCTTCTCATTTCCTTTTTTAGTATACTTTTTAAGGATAAATTTCAATAATACCCTTCTATTTTATCACTAATCTACTTTTTTATTGCTTTTTAAATAAGAAAATGAGATTTAAAAGTTATTGTATAAGCATTTTTGGAAATTTGGTATTTTTTAATGATTCCTTAATAAGCGTGCCAAGTCAACACGGGAAGAATATTTTCGGACGGATGGAGTATTGTACATTTATTATTAATTACCATACATAATGTCATTATTTATAATGAATATTTTTGCACGTCTATTTTCTTTTCAAATCCCTTCTTTATTTGCACGTCTATTTTTACCATCAAATTTTCTTTTCAAATCACTTGCCCAAATACAAATAAATAAATAAATAAAGAGAGAAAGACTAAAATATAATAAAACATACTCCCTTCGTCTAAAAAAGTTTGTCCCATTTTGACTAAAGTGGTAAAATAAGGAAGGATATTTTGGTGTTGCCTTTCCAAAAATACCCTTGATGTGATGGGTAAAAGTAGAATGTGATGGATAGATTATTAGAAAAAAGGTATGATGTGATAAGTAGTGTATAAAAAAGTAAGGGGTAAAAGTGGTTTTTTAATAAAAATGAGACGGACTTTAAGGGACGTAATTTTTTCGAAACGGGACAGAATTTTTGGGACGGATGGAGTATATACGAAAAGAACATAAATAAGAACTAAAATATTTAATTACTATAATGTCAATATTACCAATATAGAATATGAAAAATGCTATGGAATGACAATACATGTACACATGTGCCATTACCAAATTCATATCCGTTTATTTTTGTCGGATATCGAATACGGATACGGATCTTGACGGATACTGAAAATCAAAACCGTATTCGCATCCGTCGGATGTCGGTCGGATATCGGATATATCCGTATCCGTTTCTAATTTTTAGAATCAAATTAAACAATATTTTAATTTTAAATTAGATTAAAGTCAAACTATTATTAAATCAACTATAATTTGTTATGAGATAATTATTTTTTTCATGATTTATGATATTCTACGATAACTCTATGTATAAAAAGATATACACAACACACATATACACATACTTTTATATGTCTGCACATATATTTATGTTTCTACATATTTATTTTGTATATAAAAATATCTTATACTTTGAAATATCAATAGAGAAACAAAATATAAACATAAAAAAATTAGGAAAAACTGTATATAACGGATCAGATATTCGGATAAACGGTTATTTAAACGGATGCATATTCGGATCGGATTTTAAACGGATCGGATATACAATTACCAAATCCGTATCCGTTTAGTAATCGGATATCGTTAATCGGATACGGATAATATCCGTTTAATACGGATGCGGACGGTAATCGGATTTTCGGCTATCCGTTGACAGCCCTAGTTTTAAGGAACGGAGGGAGTATATACTTTTTAAACATGCAAGTTTTATTTTATATTCCGATACTAATGGTTAAATAAAATAAATTTAAAAAAGTTGAAATTTCAATTTTTATTAAAATAAATTGAAATTCATTTATAAAGAAAGGAGGTATTTTTCACAGTAACATAAATGGAATACATTTTATCATAATGGATGAGTATACGTGGATATAACAAGTCACAATAGGGTAATAATGCTCGCAAGTAACAAAAAATGTTTTTATAAACAAGGCCAAGAAATTTATGTTCCCAACAAATGGATATAGAAAAAAAACTTATTGGCTCCGTCTCCCACAATAATTCACATTCTTCACTATTCAAAAATTATGAAAACTTTTGTTTATATGTATATAGATCTTCATTAAATATTTGTTGAAATAAAATATTTTTGTCATATTTTATTTTATACTAGTAGAATTTTTTATACACTTTTTAAACATGCAAGTTCCATTTTATATTCCTATACTAATTGTTCAATAAAATAAATTGAAAAAGATGAAATTTCACTTCTTTTTTTATATAAATTGTAATTCATTGATAAAGAAAGGATGTACTCCCACCCTCCATAAATAAACTTCCGTTTTTGACTTTTTGAGGATTTAAGGGAGAGATATTTTTGTGTTGATTTTCCAAAAATACTATTGATGTGATGTGTAAAAGTAAGATTTAATATGTAGATTATTAGTAAAAAGATATGATGTGATAGGTAGGATATGAAAAAGTAATGAGTAAAAGGAAGGTTTTTAAGGGAAAAGAAATGTTTATTTGGGGACAAAAAAAACGAAAGAGAAGTATTTTCTAACATAAATGGAATACATTTTATCATAATGGATGGGTGTACGTACCTGGATATAACAAGTCACAACATACTTACCCTAAAAAATAGGGTAATAATACCCGCAACTCACTACGCAATTCATCAAGAAACGCTCCGAACAAATCGGAACGGAACGAACAAACGGAAATTAAATTTCAAGAAAGTAATTAATCTAACAAGAACAAATTAAACTGTGGAAGTCAATCAACAAGGAATCCTATTGAATTCAAATTAGTGGAACAAAACTTGTGTTCCGAACAAATCGGAGCGCGCGGAACCAACGGAATTCAATGTTACCATATAATGGTGTAAGAACATTAAAAGAATGAATGAATGAATGAATTCCAAGAAAGTAATTAATGTTACCCTACCGGATTACAGTAATTAATTGACCTAGCAAGAAGAACAAATTAAGCTGTAGAAATCAATCATTAGGGAATGAGCATCATTAAACTCAACGGTCTTCTGAATCTTGTCCACCGCAATCCTCGCCGCCGCCCTTTCTCTCTCTATCTGCTCCCGCCGCCGCCGCAGCCTCATTGCCTCCTCCTCCTCCGCCTTCCAATTCCGGTCGCCCAGTTTCTTCTGGCTTGCCTTCGCGATAGTCTCCGCGTACCGCACCTTCATCATGGCGGCGCGTAGGGCCATGGGGCGGGAAAGTGGGATTTCAACGGCCGCCGCCGGCGGCGGCGCGGCTGTTTCCCGAGTGAGACGGGTCGTGTGAGGATGAGGTGACGGCGTCGTTTTGTCGATCTTATTGATCGCATGATCACCATCTCTTGCTGCTCTTATTATTGGGCTGTTGTGATTGTTTGATGACGACGACTTCAATGCTTTGGTCGTCGGTGGTGCGGTTTTTCGGCAGAGATCTCCGCCCCCGCCGCCGCAGCTGTCGATTCTCCGCCGCCGCTTGTGAATTGTTGCTTGTTGTTGAACAGCTTGACCACCACGCGGCCTCTTCTTTGATCGGAATAACACAGCCCCAAGCTTCGCCTTAGCGGCGGCCATATCGAGCGTGTATATACGCGCTTATCAGTATCAATAAAATAGAAAACCCGAATCAGATGGAAATTTTAATGAAGTGAGTGAATATGGGAAGCTAAGGGCAGGGTACATATACATACATATATATATATATATATATATATATATATATATATATACACACACACACTCTCATATACTTCCAAACCGGGCTCGGCAAAATAAGATACACTTTTTCCCTTCTTCAATTCCATCAAAAATAAAGTTTTAATCTAGCTTCTCCATTTTTCTCTTTTAAAAAAAATGAAAATTTGACATGCATTTATAAGACAAAATTTAATTATTTCAGTCTAAAAACTTTTAATCCCTATTTAAAAAAAAGTGTTATTTCATTTTCTTTATTTTGAAAATAGTTCTTAAACTTAATTTCTACTTCTAATTTGTTAAAATAACACATTTTTCAGACAAGTATTTTGTAGTCCTTAGGTCCATGTTCCGACCTTTATATGAATTTCAATACATGAAATGATTATATCTTTTGGGCCTTGTACTCCCTCCGTCTCAAAAAGAATGTTACGTTTCATTTTTTGCGCATTCCTTAAAATACTTTTATATCGTCTCAAATGCCAAAAAAACTTTCAAAACAATTTCATCTTATAATAAAGAGTAAATATGGTAAATTTTAGAATTTTTTGATGTGAGTAGCCGTGCTTTTTGTGATGCGCAAAAAAAAGAAATGTAACATTCTTTTTGGGACAGAGGGAGTATAAAAGAGAGAGATCTAGTTATTAGTCAGTGAAAAATATGTAAGAAAGTCCAAATTTCATTAGTGGACCTAATTAGGACCACGATAGTACAACTTTTTTTTTGTACTAAGCATCATATATAGTCTTACATTTCTACTACCTCTGGCATAATTTTCATGTCTTAATTAAATTGTGTCCTTCATTATCCATACTAAATTTCCAAATCTAGAATATTTTAAAAATATAGTACGCCCTCCGTCCCTTAAACTCTTTTTGCTTTCTTTTTTTCTTGTCTTACGAACTCTTTCACTTTTCTATTAAAAGTCTACTTTTACTCATACTAAATCTTATCCTATCTATCGCATAATATTTTTTTACTAATAATCTATCTATCATATCCTACTCTAACCCATCACATCAAGGATATATTTTTGAAAAATCAACAGAAATAAAACATCTCTCCCTTACATTCTTAAAAAGTCAACAAGGGATGAACTTTAAGAGACGGAGGAAGTATAACACAACTTTTGAGTTCTAGATATAATTCGATGAAGGACACAATCTCCGACATGAGAATTGTGTTGTACGTAATTAGAAAAGCGACGTTAGGATGTTTAGTACTCCGTATGAAATAAGGGAATTGAAAAGGACCAAACTAGGAGTAAAACATATATCATATCCCCAAAATAAGAGTTGAAACTTAAAATCTCCTAAATAGGAGTAATTAATTTAATTAATCTAATTAATCAACTTGTCCAAGATTTAAAACAAAAAAGAATGATCAGCTGAAAAGGTTGCGAAAGTATTGTTGAATGAAGCCAAAATGTTGCGGACCAAAGATAACACTTTCATAATGTTTCTAATTTTTGTAACTTCTCATGGACATAAGAGTAGTGTAGACATAAGAGTAGTGTATGCTCTTTCTTCTTCTCCAATTTTTTTTAAATATCTTTAGTTATAAATATATCTGTACATATTATATATATATATATATATATATATATATATATATATATAAAATATATATATATATATATATATATATATATATATATATATATATATATATATATATATATATATATATACCACCAGGAACTGCCTACCACACCCCCTGCGTGTCCGCCACCACCGTGCAATATATTATCGTTAGTGATTTCCCACATCACCAAGTCCGCCCCGTCGCCACCGACACCATCTGCATTTACCCATGACCTACCATCGTGCCCCGCACCATTCAATTGAGTGTTGCCGATGATGTCCTACATCACCAAGCTCACCTCCTTCGCCGCCAACACCACCGGGATTTGCCATCTTCGTCGTACATATTATTATGGTCTTATTGTGATTGTCAAGAAAAAAAGACTTTTTATACTCCCTCCGTCCCATAAAGTGTTACCCATTTTGACTAAAGTAGAAATTAAGGGAGGGATAATTTTGTGTTGACTTTCCAAAAATATCCTTGATGTGATGGGTAAAAGTAGGATGTGATGTGTAGATTATTAGGAAAAAGGTATGATGTGATAGGTAGGGTTTGAAAAAGTAAGGGGTAAAAGTGAGTTTTTAATAGAAATGGGTAGGAGATTGTGGGACACAATTTTTTTGAAAGGTGTAAATCTTTTTGGGACGGAGGGAGTACAATGCAACAATACCACAATGCCAAATATTACAATATATAATGCCAAACATATATAGCCACGTACACTAACAAGTACAAATATGCCACTATATAATGTCAAAGAGAAGCAAAATGCCAAATATAGCATTGATTAATTAACAAGAAATATGTCATTGTATCACTCATAGCTCATTGTGCACCACCTCATCTAGGGAGACCATATTATTCATAGTCGGCTTGATCATCTAGATAATGCCAAACATGATAATTTATAATGCCACACATGACAACGTATAATGACATATATGCCCATGTATAATGTTACATACTTACATATCACACATGTTAATGCATAATGTCCAAAAAAGTTAAATGTCAAAAAATTCTATGATTTGCCAAGACCATAATCATTTAGTTTTAATACCAGTTTTATAAAATAATTTCCTAAGAAGTAAATCCATACTTAAAATCAAATGTCACAACTAATGTGAAATTGCATATGAAATTGAATTCAAACTTACGCATGTCTGAAAGAATTAGTACTGATTTTATAAAATAATTCTATAAGATGTAAATTTTCAGATTTCAAATTAAATGTAACCACTTATGTCAAATTGAATTCAAGCTTACACAAGGCTATGAAAGTATCATCTCTCGAAGGCAACATAAATGGTGGAGAGGGGTGAAAGGAGTGTTAAATATATTCTATATATTTAATATTATATTACTCCATCCGTTCTCAAAAACACTTCCTCTTTCATTTTTTCCACTTCCAACAAAACACTTCCCCTTTTTATTAAAAAACCATTTTTACCCTTATTTTTTCATACCCTACCTATCACATCATACTTTTTCTCTAATAATCTATTCATCACATCTTATTTTTACTCATCACATCAGGGGCAAAATTAGAAATCAAATATAACTTAACACTTTCTTATTTTCGGCCCAAATCAAAATGAGAAGTCTTTTTGCAAACGGAGGGAGTATAATTATCGTAAATAAAAAAATAGTTTATTACTCCTTGAATTCTACCAAGAAACACCCGAAAAATAGAGAAGAGATCAAAAACACGCTCATGATTGGAATTCCAAGTTGCGGTGGGAATAGTGCTCGAAAACTCAATCTTGGCCAAAATCAAGAATCTTTGTTTCGAATGATGAACAAACTTAAGAAATTTATTGGGCTAAGCTAGTTGCTCACAACCCCTCTTCTAGAGAGAGAAAATCTAGGCCAAAACTTAAATTAGTTGATTACTCCTATTTAGAGGAGTTAAAGTTTAAACTCTTACTTTGAAGGATAAAACATATGTTTTACTACTATTTAGGAGGTTTTCTTATGAAACAAATGTGTTCTGTCATCGAACTAGAAGTACTAATTAACTACGTTTAAGGACCATTTTCAAAATAAAAAAAATTGTAAGGATTATATTACGTACTTAACAAAAAAATTACTGAGACAAAAAACAAAATTTTTTTTTCCAGTAAACATAAGTTTTACTGGAAAATAAAAACATATTTAAGTCATTTTTTTATATCACAGATATTTCTTTTTCCAGTAAACATTTTCCATTTTTTTTAAAACTCCGTGATATGAAACTATGAATGTGTGATATTATACTCGTACGAAAACTTATGCAAAAATTGAATATTGAACACTATTTTGTAAAATGTTTGAGCTAAATCTATTCCACTTATTATTTTATACTCGGAGATGTTTATTTTTGGTACAAATCAATGGTTTAATTCCAGAATCCTACTTTTACGGACCGATTAATCCGGTCAAGGTTTTGTCACACTTATTAATTAGAGACTTCGGGTCATTCTAAGGTCAATTTAGCTTCGGTAAAAAAACTTATGTTTTTTAAAACTTTTGATTTACTTTTGAACGGTATAATTTATTCTTTTTATTCTTGTACCAATTTGTAACTAAAATAATTTTAAAAGAGATTATTTTGTGTGTTCTTCAAAATATGCTAATAAAGAATTTGGGACCAAGGAGCTATATATTTATGTCAAGGGTATGGCCTGGGTAAGATAAGTGTTTAAGATTACTCTCGACATAATACTCTGTACATGACTCCTCATACCAAAATGAAAACTATTGAAAAAAACTGTCATGTTAAAATTTGTGTATATAAATATTTTTTTATCCTATTTTTTAAAATATAAAAAATTCATGGTCGTCAAAGATCAATGTTTGATACTCCCGCTGCCCCAAAAAAATTTAAGATGGGCGTATTACAGCAGTTATATCAGTGCGACAATTTGAGCATTATTAATAACTAATTATATATACATAAATGACTTTCTTCTCACTAGTAATTATTATGTCCTATTTAGGAATAAAAAAATTTAAGTCCTACATTGAGAAATGACTTATGTTTTAGTTCTATTCAGTGCAAATTTCACATACATAAATACATGTCAAAAGTCGAGGTTTTTATTCATGTTAAATTTTCGAGAGGTGTTTAGTTAGGGAAATAATTAAGTATCTATTTGGGTGGGTTGGATCAGATATATCTAGCTCAGCTCAGCTCAGCTCATTCTACATTGAAAGAAATGAATACAAATTGCAGAAGCTAGCTATTTAGCAACCTATGCCCGCTACATGTTTATTGTTAAAACTTATCCCTCCGTCCTTGAAAGCTTTTCTCCTTTCCATTTCTATACGTGCCAAAAAACATTTGTTATTTCTATTAAATAGTCACTATTACTCTTACTAATTCTTAACTTATCTAACACATCACATTTATTTACTATTGATCTATCAATAAAATCTTACTCTTACCCATCACATCTAAGGACATTTTTGGAAACTTAACACTAAAATAAATCTCTTTTAAATCTTCTAAAAATTAAAATCTTTCATATTTTCAAAGAGGGAGGGAATATTAAAACTTTCAAATGTCATACGAAAGTACATAAATGCTAAAACTGGCTCTAAAGTGGATAAAACTGGCTCTAAATTAAGTGGGACTTGAAATGGGAGCATGTGATGGAATGAAGATATGAATTGTTTTGATTAATTGAAAAAAAAAAGAAAGAACTAAGAATTAAAGTGTAGGCATACTGTACCAGCGTGAACCCCGGGCCCTATTATGAGTAATAAACTTTAGACAAAATTTGGTCTTAAAATTAAAAGAAGGAAAACAAATGTCTTCCAATTTTTTTTAGTCCAAATTTATTTTTTCACATAAATGAAGTAAATTTAGATCATAATGGGAATGGAGATAAAGGACCCGTTTGGCATTAGCGTCAAAGATTAGCGTTAGCGTTTTGAAAAAGAGAATTAATCTGCACCGTTAAAATTTTATCCAAAACGCTAACGCTATCAAAAATGTTGTTACCAAACAAAGCCAAAAGCAGCCAAAAAAATCGGGTATGGGTAATACTCCGTGCTTCCAAGTCAAACGCGATTCTAAGGAAAATCATCAAGAAATTAACCAGCAGCTGTAGTGTCGTCCCGAAGAAATCGGAACGGAACATATTGAATTCAAAACTGAGTTGTAATAAGCTGTGTACAATAATGAGTGAGTGAATGAATTTCAAGAAAGTAATTAATGTGCCCTAATTAACAAATTATTAAACGGATTTGTTTGACCTATAATTAACAAGAACAAATCAAACTGTGGAAGTCCATCATTAGAGAATGAGCATCATTAAACTCAACGGTCTTCTGTATCTTGTCCACCGCGATCCTCGCCGCCGCCCTTTCTCTCTCTATCTGCTGCCGCCGCCGCCGCAGCCTCATTGCCTCCTCCTCCTCCTCCGCCTTCCAATTCGGGTCGCCCAGTTTCTTCTGGCTTGCCTTCGCGATTGTCTCCGCGTACCGCACCCTCATCATCTCGGCGCGTAGGGCCATGGGGCGGGAAAGTGGGATTTCAGCGGCCGGCGGCGGCGGCGCGGCTGTTTCCCGAATGAGACGGGTCGTGTGATGCTGAGGGATCGGCGTCGTCGCTTTGTCGATCTTATTGATCGCATGATCATCACCATCTGTTGCTGATCTTATTATTGGACAAATGTTATTGTTTGATGACGACTTCGGAGATTTTTTGGTCGCCGGTGGTGTGGTTTTTCGGCAGAGATCTCCGCACCCGCCGCCGCGGCTGTCAATTCTCCGCCGCCGCTTGTGAACAGCTTGACCTCCACGCAGCTTTTTCCTTGGCCGGAATAACACAGCACCAAGCTTTCCCTTGGCGACGGCCATATCCGATGGAGCGTGTATATACGCGCGCGCGTATCAATACGTAAGAAAAACCCTGATTTGATTTGTTGAAGCTGGATGTGATTGAAAGATTTGATATGATGATGAAAACAAGAAGAGGCGGCGGAGTGGAATATTGGGGCGGGCATAGTGAGTCTCATATATACTCACTCCGTCTCCCACTCTCTTTGTCCACTTATCTTTTGACACACCATCCAATGCACTTCTTTAATTCATTTTATCTTGTAATTTGTATATTAAAAAATTATAGAAATTATATATTAATAATCTATATGTTAAGACAAATCAAACAAGATCACATATGACTATATTTAGGCTTACACATTGAGAGAATTTGATGAGTCAAAGTGTTTAGATGAACAATTCTAAAAGTTAAAAGTGGACAAAGACAGTAGGAGTGGGACATAGGTAGTATATATATATATATATATACTCACTAGTCACTCCTTCAATACTCATGATGAGTGTTAATTATGATAGGTTGCGGTGGGAGCTGTTTAGGAAATTAAACTAACTCCAAATTATAATTAATGTTCCCTTTGCTTCCAAAATACTTTCCTCCGGAGTATATGATATTTTTAATTTCCTTATTTCACTTACAAATAAATTTTAATCACCCCCCATATTTCTTCATTTCTCTATTAACACCTTTCACTTTTTATAATTTTGTGAAATAAAGTGTAAACTCATTTTTGGGATTGAAGAATAATATTTTTGTTATTTTCATAATGTTCTGACCGTTCCGGAGTATTTGTTTAGTTTTGACTTTTTTTGATAAATTTTTTTTACCTTTGACTAGACCTCGCAAAACGGTCAGTCAGGTCGGGTTCGGATTCAGTATAATCGGGTTCGGGTTATTTCGGATTCGGGTCATTTCGGGTTCGCGTTTAAGAGTGCTTGTTCATAACCCAGAGTTATCGGGTTTGGGTTGACCCAACGGGTTAAGAGGCTTATTTAAAAATTAAAATTTTTGCTATCTAGAGATCATGTGATCCGAACATTATTCAAAACAAAAAACGGAATCATAAAAGTTTGCAGTTCTGTTTGCAACATACCAAAAGAGAATTGCAATATACCCAAAAAAATCACCTTTTTGCAGCATACCAAAAAAATTACAGTAGATGAAAAAATTGAAGATTCTTTCAACATACCCAAATATATATATACATTATAAAAAATTGAGATTCTTGCGCCATACCAAAACAAAAGAAAAGAATTAAAACTTGAGTTACACGTAGGAGCAATTGGAGACAATGAAATAGGATTAAAAATTCCACAATTGTTCTTGTGTCTTCTCGCCATCTTGATTAAGTCGGCATCTAATATCGGCGAGCGGTGTATATATATATATATATATATATATATATATATATATATATATATATATATATATATATATATATATATATATATATATATATATATATATATATATATATATATA